ATGAATATGGCTGTACGATTGATTTTTTTCTAATTATAAACTAAAATTGAATTTCTGTCTCTTGGTAGGTTTTTTACTGATTTATAGTAATTGTTTATTATTAGCGCTGTTAATTCCTCGTGGAATATAATGCTTCTACAAATGCATTCCATTCTGATAACTATTCGGCAATTATTTTTATAATAAGAAACACAAATTAGTTTTGAATAACTTTTATTGTTTGTTTAAGTTTATAGATGAAATGCTAATTCTTCTAAATCACATACCAAAGTATCCCAAGAAAAATAATCAAATTAACTAAGTATTTTTGCTTTCACTTACGTATATATGTAATATATAGTAAGGGCAAGTATTGCGATCGAGACAATTTTTATTTGTTAAATTACAACAACAAAAAAATATTGTGAAAAATTTGAAAGAAATTGGGCATACATTTTTCCTAAGATTTATATAGTTTTGTATATAACATTAAACATTATATAAAAAAATACATTAAAACATTATAAATCAGAAGATTGTTGAAAAAAATTATTAGAGTTCTATTTTGTATATTTTTTTTAGAATTATGTTCTTTATTGAAAATCTTCTTAATTTTTAAAATTTGAATGAAAATTCAAATTCATACAACCATATAATCATTTATCTACAGGAATAATGTTTTAGAATCATCCTGTTTTGTCTCTTGGTGAACTGAGGACTACTTAAATTTATATTATTCAGTAAGGATTGAAATGATAATGGAATTTCAATAATTTATTTAAATCAAAAATGTATAAAAACATTCTTCATTTGAACTAGGAGGCTATATTTGATAAAAAAATATATAGATGATTAATATCAAATACTTATTACAAGTAATATACTATAAATACGTTGAATTATAAAAATTACAAAAATTGTTAGTTGCATGGGGTTCCATAATTGTGTTGATCACAATATTTTTTTTCATATTTAGTTTAATTTCTTAGAACTTATAAACGTATTAATTTTACTATATATATTTTTCTTTTTTTTTTGTATGCATAAATGTAAACCAATAAATATCGATTAGGGGTACTTTAAAAGTTAAATAGCACACCTCAACGTCCCTGAGGAGAACAGGACAATAGAATATAAGCTGATAGCGACATATCGCTAGCATTGTTTGCTTTAAGGATATGACAATATTATCGAAGACCCTCTATGTGAACAATAAGCCTAATACAACTCAGTTGTCAGCACGGCTTCCTGCACTACAACAGGACAGAAAGGTATTGTCAGGTATATATATATATATATATATATGTGTGTGTGTGTATGTGTGTGTGTGTGTGTGTGTGTGTGTGTGTGTAATTTTTAAAGAGTGTAAGTTCAGAATAGTCAATAAATGCCTTCATGCGTCTTTTTCAAAATAAAATAAGTATAAATATATTTTTAGTAACCTACTACGAACTTATAATTAAAAGTCACACTTAAAGAGTCCCGGCATAGTTAGAAAACGGGGCATTCGATTTGACCCAAACTTGGAGGAAATTTGGAGAACAGTATAGAAAATACTTAGTATCTATTTCATTGAATTCCATTTCGTGTAATTTTCAGTAAATTTAAAGAAATTTTTATTCTGAATTTGTAAACAAAAAAAAACTTCTTATTTGTGATTGTGTTTATTTCCATTGAAGTTCAATCAGTTTGTCATGGTCTCGATTTCCTCCTTAAATATGGAAGTTGTGTGAACTTCACCCATATTATTATATTCAAGCTGAATTAGTTTTGTTCTCACTGAAGAAAAGTATTGGTCTCGTTAACACCGAACAAACAACAAGTTGAATTTTTCATATGGATTTTCTAGTTCCATCAATTTTACGAACTGAATACGTACCTATTAAGTATATATCACTACTAATAGTAATATAGATATATTTTAGCCAATGAAACGGTTAGGAAGCTATACCGACCTTACCTGGCAGGCTTTTTACTTTTAATTACGTATATATGTAATATATAGTAAGGGTAAGTATTGCGATCGAGAAAATTTTTGAATCTGAGTTTTCAACGAAAATACACGTTTTGAGCTACCCTGAGTCGAAATGAGCAAGTCCCGAAAAACGGTCAGTGTGTCTGTGTATTTGTATGTTAGCAGTCTAGCTTAAAAAACGAAAAGTCCTACGAAACTGATATTACGTATTTAAGATAGGTATATGCCTTAGATGTGACAGCATCTTTTCCCTTAAAATCGGCTAACCAGAAGTGCCGCTTTTTTTTTTAATCTTTGTCTAAATGAATCCAATTCGATGAATTAAATGAGTGTAATTCTTAACAAAATTATAAAAATGATTTACTTTCAGCAGTGTAGAATAGGCATATTTTTGTAATAAATAAGCAAGTTTGAATCGATTTTAGCGTTCTTTAGTATGCATTTACGAATTTTCACAGAATTGAATAAATTAATTTTTGAATACATTTATTTTATTTTATTAGGGGGATTTTTTAATCTGCCGTTAATGAATGATTTCATAACTAAGAGGAATTTCTTTGATTTTCTCTAAATTTAATATAAATACAACCGTTGAAAAGCGGAAATACTGAAATTCCAACTTACATCAATAACTTTTAGATTTTACGTCTTTATATGATAGAAATAAAGAAAAGAAAAACATTTCAAACTTCATTTCTTTCCATTATTCTGTATATTATATGTGAACATGAATGTAAGAAAGGTCATTTTCGTCAATTATTCATGTTGGTAAACACATCTCTGCACTGCATTCATATGCATTACCTTACCGAAGAAACCAAACTTACAGTTGGGTTGAGTTAGGGCAACACACGGCGACTGGCTGCGGCCATGTTTGGTTCCATCCAGAAGGTAATTCGTACGGCCGTTGGTGCGGGTATGTGTTCCACAAATTTTAAATGTACAACTCGTTTAATCGGGTTTAATATGGAAATGGAAAAAAAAAGATGTTATGTACATTGTTAAAAGAAAAGCGGAAATGTTTGCATCGATAATAACGTAGTCGGAGTCGGATCAGTGGTTCATGAAGTTTTAATAACTCTTCAAGTGTTTAAACTGTATCTCATTAAAAATGTTTCACATAACATCTCAACTATTCAAGAACCATTAATCATGCATCGATAATTTCGCTTTTATTCCATAATAATTACAATGTTGTCTACAATATCGTGGGTGCTTTGTAATTGGGTATTAAAGATCAGCCCTATACAATTAGGAGTGATAGCTCGATATTGCAAAAATCGTTATGATTTATAAGTTTATTTTGAATGTCTTTCTTCCGAAAAAAAGCAGTGTTGTTTGTCTCTGTCATAGATGCGGATATAAAGTGAAGACGATGTTAATGGTTTATTTAATATAATAATTTGTCATTAGTCATTTTTGAACGCTTAGAAATCCTTCAAATCTCTAATATTTTTTTCCGAGTTTTTTCAGATTATATAGAAATATACCTTTGCGTAGTTATTGTTTTATTTATGTGATTTGTTTGTTTATTTTTGTTTAATGGCGTTAAACTCCATTTTTCACTTTTAATTTATTTATTAAAATATGTATATATAAATTATACCTACAAATACACACACATGTATATATATATATATATTTTTTTTTTTTTTTACAACTTTTATTTAATCGACCTTTGAGTATTATTTATATACATATACATATTATTATTTATTATAATTATAATTATTTATGTCATTAGAAGTAGGATATTAATCTTCTTTCACTGATATAATTCAATGTTAAATCTAGCACCTACTCTATTTATCCTCTAAATATGCTACAGAGAAGATCAATAGGCCAACATTAAAAAAAAAAAATTTGATTGAACTCAATTCAGTTCTGATTCCGCAAGCATGAGAAAATTAATTATTATGTACTTAGAGATGGGTAATTAGTTGACTGACCAATTATAAGAATAAATAAAATTGTTAGGAATTTTAGTCATGATATTTTTATTGGGTTAGCCGACGTTTTGACCCAAACATGTGTGTCATCCTCAGGGCTATCATTGGAAAGTTGAGAGAAGAACTCGAATATCTTGACTGAAATTCCTGAAAATTTTCTTTCATCTTTAAATATTATATGAAATAAAAAATTGAAAAAGATATATCACTATAGACTACTGCGGTAAAGCGACTGTAACGATTTTAATGAAACTTGAATGAAGTCTAATCTTTAAACCCCTTAAATTTATGAATATAACATATTCCCGAAAAGATGCTGAAAAAAGTAACGGATTCTGATTTTGTTTGCGAATAACTCAAAAATAACAAAATTATTAGTATATTAAACTTATGAATATTTTAAAGCTTTCTGAATTTCCCCTACACAATTTAAAAAAATAAAAATATAGTAAAAAAAAATTATTGAAACTGAAATGAATTTTTTTTTGTTCATTGATATTTACAACTGTATTATAAAAAAAATAAACTAGTAAATGTGCGCACTGTATTAATATAATCAAATGAAAACGCTAGGTTTGAAACTACCCATTGGTAGCACTCTAATAATAGAATAAAGTCAAGATAATATTATTGTATTTTTTACATTTTAAATTTTTTCGGTTTCTAATTTTTGCAAGAGCTCTATTATGGCAATTTCATAATTGGCATGTTGCTATAGTATGACTACATTAATTGCTATACTATGAGTAAAATATTGAAATGAAGTAATTTGTATCAACCAAAGGAGCGAAGTGGGTACAAATATTTGTTTGAAAAAGTAAACAAATGCTAATATACTATAGTGGACATTTTTTTTTTAAACATGTAAATTTTTTTATGTTTTCTCAAATTTTCAATATCGAATTTCGATAATTGGGTGCACATTAGTATAATTTATTTATTTTTCAAAACCAACATCATTTGTTGTCAACATCATTTGAACAATATCCATATTAATAATAAATAATTTATTAACTTTTTTTAAATTGCTTATTCCTAAAATCTATGTTGTAGAAAGTTCCTGAAAATTGGAGGATTGAAGATTATTATCTGGAAATATGAAAACCCTGGTAGCTACCTTTATTCTATTTTTTATGATGCTGCAATTAGGCGCATATTTAACGATAGCAGATGCTTCAGGTATAATTTATATTCATTTCTATAATAATATTACTAATAGATAAAACAAATCATGGATTGGCGGCTGAGAGAGAAGTGCTGGGATCTCTTAGAGTCATGCCTTGTCCTCCATACGGGAGAGAAAGATTCGGAGCTCCCTTGGCTGGCTGTAAATATTGTAAATAATTAAGAACGTGTTTTTTTGAATTTCACATCTTTATTTAATGTTGTTTCATTTATTTTTTTATTACAATTATTTTTCCTTTTCTTTTGTTATAAGTTTTCTTTTGTTTTTGTATATATACCATATATATACACGGCTTAATTCACAACACGGCTATAATATATTTTTGGCTATAAACGGCTATTAATATATTTTTGATTTCAGTAATGAGAGAAAGCACCCAAATCAGATGGGATAAGTTAGAGCGACCGGATGTTGTCAGAAGTGTATTACAGTATCATCAGAAAAAAACCATCGATAAGAAAGAAGGTAATTGCGCTCAGTAGTAAAGGAAAATAAATATTTAAAAAAATTGACATTCATCGGTCCGTAATAGAAAAAAAAAAGCTTTCCCAAGTACAGAATACCCAATAAAAAGGCCCACTTTACATTTAAAGAATAATATTACTAAATATTTTAAATTATACGAAATTTCCAAATTTCTGGTTATTTGATGAAGTTTATTGTTCGGTAAAGATCCATTTTTTATTTTTCATCCCGTGCCCCTAGGTGTTATAATGAGGGTTAACGCACCAGTTATGGACAGGTTGGACTTTAAATATAAATAATAATCTTCTTTGTTCTTTAAAGGTTCCAGATTTTCTAGATTGAAAAACGATGCTCTATATTGACGACTGTATAAATAAAGTTGCCAAAAGAAAATTTTAAAATGTCTATGTTTTTATGTATGTTTAAAGTGCCCTTCAGATCAATGCGTTTCACAGCTTCCTACCACAGTCTTTCTAAGAGTAAGATGAACATTTATGTCATGTTATCCTTATAGTTAAATAAAGATTTTCTGAGTTATTTCTGAGATAGGTATACTGGAACCGACCTATCCAACAACATATAGAACAATTGAATTCCATGGTGCTCATAACTAGTGCAAAAAGGTGTTGTTAGTTATAACAAATGCCAAAAAAGACAAACATTTCCTTCTCTATGTCCATCACTGGTGTACTTACACTGTATACCTCTAGAAAAATTAAATATTTAAATCATAAAGTAAGAGGATTGGATTTTCTGAAGATATTCACTTTATTCTAGAAGAAGTGTTATTGCCTCCGCTGATTGATTTTTATCCGAAACAGGATAATGTAGATTTATAATAATGCTTCAAGTAGCCTATTTCCGGGAAAAAATATAATTTCACGATCGTCATGTTTATTTAACCTAACAGAAATATTTTGGTAAATTAATTATTCATACAATAAAATCATGCGTTTCGATCAAACGAATATGTAAATACAATCCTAATTATAATCGCAAATCCAAATAAAATAAAAAATTGTCCTGGCACATGAAAAGAAGATGAAAATATTTACTGTCCGTATTTACTATTTCTTAGAACATTATATGATATGAACTATTTAATATAAGCTAATATACTTTTATGAGCTATGAGTAATTAATAAACCTTTTTTTTCAGAAAAAAATATCAATATCAGAATATTTGGAGGAAAACGTTGAAAGATACTACAACGACTAGGTTATAAGCTAATGGATTGTATTATAGAAAGAAAATTAAATGTTATATATTGTAAATAACCTAGCTCATGTTTAAACAATACGAACTCTATCTTTTTCCAATCTATTTTTTCCTCCATCGCACAGATATTAAGATAAAAAAAAGTAAATCGATGTTAGCCTCAATTTAATTTTGTAAATCATTAGTGTCCCTAAGTAGTTCAGAAACGCACCAAAATCTCCCGCGTCTATTATTGATTTGTTTATTATATTAACAGTTATTTTTTAAAAATAATTTTTATCATTATAAATTATTAACATCTTCCTGAAACTTGATTGAATCGGAAAATAATTTGAGAATAAAATCGAGGAAAAAGGGGGCCTACAAAAATATTGGGCAGTTTGGTCTATATTATAATCTTGTTATTTTGATATGTTGAGGGGATTAGGTCACGCCAAAGGACATAATATTTTTTTAGACCACATTTATCCCCGATTTTGAGTGTCTAAATTTAGACACACAAATTTAGATACACAAAAATTTTGTGTTTTCCGAAGTGTGTCTCAAATAAATGTTAATAACAATCCAGTCTTCGGCTCTCTACTACTTTAATGAATATCGAGAAAGTAGGCAAGCAGAGATAGCATATCCCACTTAAACTGCATAAAACAGACTAACAAAAACCAAAAAAGACCATACATTACTTATGATTAATAATCCTGATATGGAAGTATATGTCAAACTTTTACGAAATGATGATAACAAATTCAACTATAACAAACTACAGAGGATGTCTCAGATGACGAAACGTATTTACGATTTGGTGACTCACAATAATCAACTAATTAAAATTGAGTTTTATTTTTTATGTATGAATTGTAAATATTTTATAAAAATTTATTTGACTTAGAGGTGACAACTTCAAGTTCTTCAGTAAATATGCTGTTTTGAAGGTAGTACAGTAATATAGGAAGCAAGCAATTAGTAAATGGTAAATATCTTGAAATTATTTTCATTATTAATAAATGATATTAGTAATTGATCTTTAATCGCTAAATCCATACATGCTTGTAAATTCACAACATGTATATGATTAGGAAATAAAACCTTGTAACTGTAACATCGAGTATGGATTTAATTTCGTAATTAAATGATTGATTAATTATAAATTTTAAACAAAATGTGAGAAGCAGTCTGTCCTATTACTGAGGTCGAATTTTCACCTCGTGTTTTTATATGAAACAGGTTAAAATTTATTTAATTGTTTCAATAATGCTTACCTGAGAAAATATAATATAATTATTATTTCATGTAGTCACAGGATTTGGATAAAAATGCTAAGAGCATAAAAATTCACTTATATAAGCCCTTCACTATTCACTTACAAATTGTCAATCCTCTATCGCAATTAGAGCTACCCAGATTTCATACATGGATAACTTAATTTTTATTAAATCTTTTTTAAATACAATCTAAAGTATAAATTATTATTATCCACAATATTTTTATTTGAAACTACTATATAAAATATTTTATAATTTTATGATCATGCAATTTACTTGCAGCTGTAAATACTAGCCAGAGGCACATGGACAGGTTCGATATGTTAAAATAATTTAAATTTATGTATATATTTGTATTGGTCAGTAAAATAAAATAATTAGCTAAATATTTATTAGTGAGGGATGGTACTGCAATAAGGATGCTGGATATGAAATCATTACTACAGCCTGGTTAAATTATAATTATTGTTATATATAAAATTATAATTTCTAAGATATATAGGTAATATTATTACTAGTTTTTTTCGAAAATCAATCGGATAATGGAATTAAATTAAAGGAATTGTAAGAATATATGGCTACTTTGTTTTATTCTAAAAATAAACTTTAAATATAATGCACACAAACAATAATAAAATATAAATAAAATATTTACAATTTATTTTAACTATCAACAATACTAGGAACAAATACAGGTCTCTTTTTTATATAATCATTAATATTATAAAAAATTACTCACGATTTTGTACTTAAATGAAATATATATATTTTTAAATTAACTAAGTTATATTAGTATCACACTAATCACTTTTTTCAAGTTCTGTTTTTGCGATTTTTTGGTCAAACGAATCCAAGGCTTTAACTGATTTCCCTCCATCTTCCTCAATGGGTACAGGCACACCAACATACTCAGGTACTTGTACAGTGTAAGGTACCTTCTTCTCGACGACGAATGGTATTTTCTTGACCACGGTCACTTCGTACGGTACGGCTACTTCAACGGGATACGGCTTTTCAACGGGTACTTCAACTTTCACAGGAACTTTCCTCTCTACGAGGAAAGGTACCTTTCTTTCAATAAGTACTGGCACATGGTACGGTCTAGGGACATCAACGTATTCCTTCATGGCCACAGGAACGACCTTCTCAACTGGGTATAAAACATTCTTTCGAAAGATTAACTTTATTGTTTGCGGCGCTTCAGGTCCCAGTTTATCAGAAAGCATATCCATAAAACTTGTATACCGTGGTTTGCGAACGGCTACTAGCTTCATGGAGATTGGCTTTGGAACTGTAAAAGGGTGTTGATTGACATCATTTTCCTTCATCGCAAACCAGTCGGTACCTAATATCTCTTGATCGAAATTCTGTAGGGGTGCTCCCATAGTAGAAGAACATACGACGAGGAAGACGATCAACATAGTTGTAAGGCAGCTAGACAACTACCGCTAATGAGCGATATCCTGCCAATATATACCTTACCACCTTGCTTATCATTATTCATAGTCAATTCCTTATTAATTCATTGTGTAATCAAAAGAAAATAATTAGTTATTAAAACATTCAGAATGCAAATTTGTTATCTCATTTATTGAGGGATCTTTAAAACAGCTAATGTACTGTAACGATATTGGTAATGAGTTTCGCACTTGGATTCAAGAGAAGAATGCCTTTAGTATTTAAGTTATCATTAAAATAATAATTAAAAAAATCACATTAATAACATATCTTTCTTAAATTTGTTTAATATAATAGATATTAACAATAGCAATAATAATAAAAACAAATCTTGAGTAATTGAGCTTGGCATCCTCCAAAACACCTAACATCAAAAGAACATCTTATAATAAGCAGGCTCAGAATTAGACATACCAAACTGACCCATCTCCACCTACCTCTTGGCCTAGATCGACCAGCATGTGAGACATGTAAAAATACTAATCTGACTGTTGAACATATATTTCTGTGCAAAAACATCCGGAAACAGCAAATTGAACTCCAAGTTGATGACAAAGCACCATACAAAGAAAACAGTGATATTGGAGAAACGCTAAAGTACATTCGACAAATAAAATTAATAATTTATAACTAAGAAGAAAGATCGTCACTAATAATCTTATGCGCCGTTAAAACCAGTAATTAAAAAAATCTTTAGTGCTCAAAAATATTGGAAAATTAGTTTTTCAATTATATTTCGTGACATAATGAGTTAAGATTTAGCGATTGTGGCTACTTCATGCATTTTGAGGAAAAGGCTGTACCAGTTTTAAGTTTGATGGCTCAAATTATTTATTGACATCACGATAGTTTTCAAAATTTTAGTTCAAAATTCAAAAACAAGAGAAACTGTCTGCTATCAGTACCACACAATTTTAAGGAACGAAGGATACATCTGAGTACGTTATTATTTTTCTATAATAAGTTCGATCCTCATTCGCATGGTCACTATGCAGATTTCTATTTACATGAATAAGGCTTAATTGGCATTGGAGAACCTTGACGTTTGATGGCAGATCATGAAGAAAACAGATTTTACCAGACGTCAAAACGAAGTAACGTGCACCGGCATTGCCGTTTATAGGAGTTGAGTCGTCGTTTGATCCTCCTAAACCGAGTGAAGTTGAAATGGAAACCAATCAAGATTAAAAATTCAAACTCCTTCGTTTCCATAACATATTTTCTTTTCTATTACTTTCAAATTATTTCATACCCATTCTTAATTTCTTTTATTTTATTTGAAAGATAAAATTCGTTTTGTACATTTTATTGTTCTACATGTCCTTGACACCTAATTTTTTTTTAATATTTCATTTATGTTATTTTACATCTTGAATTTTATAATGTAAATAAACAAACAGGAAAGAAAATGAAAGTAAGTAGTTTTCAAATTTTAAAGAGTATAACTACAAATATTTTATTTACATTTAGAACAAAAGAAAAAAGAAATTAATTAGTTTTTCTCGCAATATGTAATTAATTTTAACTTGAGAGTAATTAATTTTTATACATCAAGATAGTAAAAACTTAGAAATCAGAAAGAATATATCTGGAACACTGGTGAATTAATAAGCATTAATTAAAGAATTATTAATACTGGCATAAAACAAAATATGTTGTATAATATCATGAGAATTTATGTTGTATAATATAATGAGAATTTCCTTTTACTAAATATTGAATGTTTCTCATATCTTAAGTGATAGTTAAGTTTGGATACAAAAATAAAGTTTCTTATAAAATTTCCAACTAAAGCCGCTAATGACCCGTTCGGGTAGATGCGGAATGTAACAATAACAATAAATAAAAACAACGTTATTTTATTGACCCCATATACACTTTAAAACCAAAAATTGGATACCTAAATCAAAGCAATTATTAAAATGGAATAATTAATTAAAAAATATGTAATTCTTTGAAAAGAAAAAAAAATTAAAAATGAAGTGCAGAAATGAAAAATGTTTAGATAGTTTACAGGCGATAACAATTTGAACATTTAACATACGAAATAAATACTATCATATATCCATTTTATGGGGTCTAATATGGCTTGTTAGAATAAAATATAATAGAAATAGAATAGAAAATAATTTTACTCTGGGACGAAGTCCCTTCAGAATAACAAAAAAGTACAAATTTAAAATGTTATATTTGGCCAAATAAAAACAAACATAAAAAGTAAAGATAAAGATAAATCAGTAAAAAAAAAATAATTAATTATACATACCATATACAAAATAAAAATATATATATACAGAACTCTTGAAACCTTATCAAGACACTTTAAACAATGTACAATGGTAAAATATGTTATATTATATTTTAAATAAATTTTCACTGAAACGTCAAAAACAAGTACCTAAGTATAGTAAGCAAATAGAAAAGAGTTCATAAGATATTTTCTGCATATTCGTTAGCAGCATAAAGATACCACAAACATTTTAAGCAATAGGAAGAGGCAATAAAGAAAGGATTTAATAGGAGAGACTCCTCTGACCGAGGGAGGGTCGGAAGCCTGGAATCCGATCTACCAACAGAGCGGCAATTGAGAGTCGTGCAAACATCGAGCGCCACAAATCCGTCCATTGTGGACGACCAATAAGTCCTAAGCCGGACCTCTTACTTCGCGACTTAAGCCCCCGAAGTACAGCCAAGCGCCCTCTGCCCGGAAGGGATTTTTTAATATAAAGTTGCCTCCCTTTTATTATTAAGAAACCACTGCCTCCTTCCGATACTTATTCATAACCTTTTCCGCCTTAAGGCTATTGTAAACAGACTCGTTCTTGGAATAAAGTACAGTTGGGAAAAAGCAAGCTTTCTTGTGTTCCAAAGTATTTACCGAATCGTATTACATTATATAGTATAATAACTATATTATACATATTTTATTTCTTGTTGCTGAGATACGTTGAGGTAATTTAGCCATTTTCTACACTAAAATTCATTTACGCAGGCAGAATTGAGTAAAAATACTAGCTCACAAATCTCATAAAATAATTTTAGTCTACTGGTAAAGTTGAAAAGCATTTTTATTCTACTTGATAGTGATAATAACAAAACGTTTTAATAATCAAGAAATAAGCGCTGGATGAGGGTAGGAATTTGATGCAGAATTATCAGATTTGAATTCCGGTGTTTCGATCTCAGCGGACTCACGAAACAAATTTTTAACGTTTCATTCTGGTTACGATCAGTCTATTTCTTGTTGGATGGCAGACATTTCTTGTACTGATGAGAGTATGTAAAGACCTCAAATTTACAATATAACATCAGCATTTTTTTTTTAATCGTTCCAGCCCTTAATCAAAAAATATGCTTATAAATGTTTTGGATTTCTAAAACTACATTTTAGAAACGTCGTTTCGCTTGAATAGAAAATATTGGTAGATTACGTACCGATACATTCTACAATTAATTATTTTTTCTTTCAAGCACTGTCGAGGTAGGTTAATGAGTGATCAGAAGGCCTTGACAGTGGGTGTTCAATCAATGAAAAGTGACTTGATGGATGAGGAAGAGCCTACGATAGGATGATCTGAAGAGTTAGGCGGATGATCACCGAAATCACTGTCTGCGAGTTAAGGGATGAGCCTTCTGACATCGCAGGATGGACAACACATACGAAGGGATGAGCCTCCAGACGTTTCATGGAATACGAGAAGGAGAAAATGATAAAGGACGATTGATTGAAATAAAAGTCAGATTGATAGGGAACCAAAATTCGAATATAAAATAAACTGATCAATCTTGACCTGAAGTTTAGACTATCTCATGGAGGATGGTTATTCAAGATTTCAATTACCAATCCGAGTTCTCCTTATCATTCCGCCATGAATAAATCGGCTAGCAAGAGTCATTACAGTTCTCGATATTTTAAAGTTTTAATTAGAATATGTATTGTATAAAAGCATGTGTGAATTTAAATATTTATTTTGTTAGATTGGTTTATTTTTATTTAGTTTAATATCTTTTAGTTTATATACAATTTACTTTAGGATTATTATATTACCGTTTATTATTTTTATTTATTGTATGGTATGAATGAGCTACTCTATATCACTGCTACTATTGTCCTTGAATGTAACAGAGTGTAATATCTCAATAAAAAAGGTTTAAAAAAATTAGTATATATTATTATCATTAAATTTTATTATTAAAATGTATAAATTAGAACTTAAGTTTTTTACATTAAAATAATAAGAAATAAAAATACTACTTGTAAGTGCAATGAGTGAGCCCGCAAATGTGCCATTGCCAGGTAGCAGGTAGGTGAACTAATGGGCTGTTATGTATAGCGGCAAATGAACTAATGTCCGCTACAACACCATCCTGAAAAAAAATCTATAAATAATACTTTTATATGTCTTAAAATTATTCTTAATTATTAATTTTTCTGGATTATTTGTTTATTGATAAATATTAAAACCTGTCTCAATAAAGGATATTTAGAATAGAGTTCTGAGAGCACACCCACACCATATTTACAAATTAAAAAAATAAATAAGGTAATTTAAAAATAATATAAAGCTAAATAAGAACAAAATAAAATATCATAGTGAAGGAAGAAAATATAAATAATAGTAATAATAGAATATAAATATATCAATAAAATAGAATTAAAATTATCTTAAAAAAAAAAGTAATGAAAATAAACATCTTAGACGCAAGCATATCTATTTACAGTCGGACACGGGAACTCCGTACCATACTTGTCCCCCCACATGTGGAGGGGAAGCGAGGCTTCCTTAATCTTTAATAAGATTAAAAAATTAAGATAAAATCAATGAAAAACACAAACAAATCAGTGCCGATAAATTAATAAACAGATGTGTAAGTATAATACAGGAAATCTTAGTGAGTTTCCAAGATTTTTTTAAGAGTATTTGGAGCTGAGAGGGAAAATGAAGATAAAGTACACCTCTACGAATAAATGTGTGCGAGAATTCAAAGTATATCAGTGGAAGTCTTTTTGTTTTAAGAAAAATAACTTGTCAGCTCTATTGGCCACTCAAGATTATAATTTCATTCACGGTTCTTCTACTCGACAAACTACGAATGAAGTCTGAAGGTCTCTAGCTTCCCTTCAAGAATACTTTGCGACATAAAGAAAAATTGAAAAGCCGGCAATAGGCAGTAGCCAAGAGGGGTTGGAAAGGCTGATGGAGGCAGATCTGAAGATGCAGTAAATACTGGCTCAGCAGCCGAGATCTGTAAACAGTTCCCTAGCGCAGATTTATTGCTACAGCTGCTCTATCTTTCGCCTCTGTCTCTGTAAACAGCTTAGCATCCCATTCACTTTTTGGGTCTCTTCTCTATTGTATCATGTTATTAAAATAAAATTACAAGTGGCAATATACAGCTGAGAAAATTTAAGAACTGCTCACACATGAGCTAACCCATAATATTTTGCTTTAAAGATTAAGTAGCTTTATATAGCCCTCATTGCTAATTGATCAAACTATGAGAATTATGACAATACCTCGGGAATATCTAATACGGATTGCCACTGTGTGGTTCCTGGTATATTCCAGTACTAGGCCACTGACAGTTTTTAGCTAAGTGATATCAATATAGCTGGTAAGATTAAGAAAAATAATCAGGAGAGGTCAGAGGAAAGGAATGCTATTCACGACGCACTATTTTTATTTTATTTTTTCAATACTACATACACTCCAATTTTAGATAAATCTATTTAGTTAATAGGCTTCGAGGACAGATTAATTGAAATTAGTTTTTTTACAGAATCAGTTTTGATTAATCTCAGTTGAATACAAAAAATATGTGATCTGATCCTTGTCATCCCAAAGTACCTATGTTTTTTGTAAGTATCTATGCATTTTTGTAATTAATTGATCACAGTACAAGTCACAGAATAAAAAAATCTGTTGTGCGCAACAACTTTCACTTACCACTCAACGTTGAATAAAAATTATTTTCTGGCTGTGTTGGGCTATTATATACTTTTTTAATTGGAGTTTTAACTGAGCTAAAGCTAAAAGCTTACAGCTAACAAGTCATAAATACCATTAAAATAACAAAAGTCCTATTTATTATATCACCGGTTGATTATTGGTTATACGATCCGTTGCTTATGGATTGTACGACTATTAGTTATTAAATGAAATAAAATGAAAAAATATTTTATTATTCTGGGACTGATGTCCCTTTAGAACAGATTATAAGTACCGATTGTATGTCTGTGTGGTCACAATTAAATTATATATTTACAATAAGAGTTGATTAAAACTAAAAATACTGAAGAAGAGAAAGAAAAGAACTTTTATATATATATATATATATATAATAATAATAATAATAATAAGGCTTAGCGAACCCGAAGGTTCGATGCCGACACCACCAATCGCCTGTTACACACCTCCCTCCACCGTTCGCCGTCCAAACCCAGTCCCTTCAGATCAGCTTTAATGCAATCTTCCCACCTTCGCTTCGGTCTACCCCTCCGACGCTTACCATTCGGCACAGCAAATATTAACCTTTTAGGAATTCTCTCGTTACTAAGCCCAACAACTTTACAAGCCCATTTGATTCGCCGCGATGAAATTACCTCAATTATATTACCCGGATATAGCTCACGCAATTCGGCGTTGTGTAACCGTCTGAACTCTCCGGTTAACTCATCCTTCTTCGGTCCGAATATTCTACGCAATACTTTATTTTCAAAAACCTTAAGACGCTGCTCATCCCTTAACGTAAGCGGCCAAGTTTCGCATCCATAAAGAACTGTAGGCAAGATAATTGTTTTATAGATTCTAATTTTTAAGTTTCGGGACAAGAGGCGCGAACTGAGTAGTTTTGTCACAGAAAAATAACAAGCATTCCCCGCCTTCAGTCTAACTTTAATCTCTTCTTCAATTTCGTTTTTTCTAGTTATCGTAGAACCTAGATACCTAAATTTATCTACCTGTTCAAACATATTACCATCTATATCGATATCACCAGTAGTATCGCCATTTTTGCAGCTAACCATATATTTTGTTTTATCCACGTTTATTTCGAGTCCTAGTTCTTTACCGGCTTTCATTAACGTTGTCGTATTTAGTTTTATAGTTTCAACGTCTTCGCTTAACAGTACCAGATCATCAGCATAGCCCAGCACGGATGTTGTCCCGCCCAGATCCAACCCTTTCTCGGTACGCATTACCTCCCTAATGGCATGTTCTAATGCCAAATTGAACAGGACAGGCGAAAGAGAATCCCCCTGTTTTAAGCCCGAACGAACCTCAAATTTTTCGGACAAATTATTACTGATTCTAACTTTATTGAGTGTCTCCGTCAAGCACATCCTGACTAGATTTACTAGTTTTTTTGGAATTCCCTGCTCGATTAGAATATTAAACAGTTTCTGGCGGTCAATAGAATCGTAAGCCTTTTTAAAATCTATATACAGCTGGTGAACAATACCGTTATACTCCAATTTTTTCTCTAATATTTGCCGTAAAGAAAATATTTGATCAATAGTCGAACGATTCCGTCTAAATCCGCATTGGTAGTCTCCGATAATTTCCTCGGCGTATTCCGTGATTCGACTGGTTAAGATTACAGTGAATATTTTATAACATACCGGA